CCTCCATCCCCCGGCGAAGCGGCGGCGCCCTCCCGGCGGGCTGGGAGCTCCGGGGACCCGAGCCAAGAGGTGTGCATTCGAGTCGGCTTACGGTCTTCACTTAGGCTAACGGTGCTCGCGGGTGGTGGTGTTTTGTTCATCTCAGAACTATGCTGTCCCGCTTGCGGGAGGTTTTTTCGCGGGGTTGTAGCCCAGGAAACTTGTGTATTGTAGCCCGGCTGGGCCAGTGGAGAGCTGGCGTTAGCCTTGAGGCACTTGTCTTTTTGCGTCCTCAAAATGAAAAAGCAGCAAACTAGAAACTTAAGGGAGTTGGGGATAGATAATACAAGTGTCCACGTTGTTTGGGAGACATGAAAGCCACCCGTTTGACCTTATCTTACATGCACACACATGCCCTTTCTATGAAGCCACCTATCAAAGACATTCTAGAGCCCGTCCTTGGCACCGATCTTGTTGGTAGTGTCATGAGGAAGTAAAGTCCTTAAAGGTAAGCGAATCGTTGCATAGAGCAGTTTCTATATCGCACTTTCTAAGGATCCATTTCGCTGTGAGAAATGACCGGTTAATATGCTGTTGAATCATTGTTTAACTTGCATTTGCAGAGAAACACATAGTTGAAGAATCACAGAATCGGGTTGTGTGGCACTGAATGTTTCCGGGGAAGACTGAAGAGTTCCTTTGGGAGTGGGGGAGAAGTGTTCCCACCTGGTTATTACTTGAACCCATTCCTTTGAGAGGTAAAGTTTACAGCTATTTGCTAAATGCCACACAGTCTGCAGAGAGGTGGTTTGTGGGGGTGAATGGTGTAATTGGGCAATGAGTCCGAATTCACACTTGAGGGCACCAGACTAAGTACCCTCAGGATAGGGCAGTAAATCGTTATGGAACTAACTGGGCATGAACTTGGTCATGGAGGCAGGGGTAGGTAGAGACATAAGACTACACAGACAGTGCCCAGCTTCTGCTCCCTCTCCCTCGAGAATCACCAGCCAGTGGGGCCGCTGGTGTTGGGGACCTGGGGCTTATTAGCACCAGGGACTGGAAGTAAAACTATGTCAGCTTCAAAGGCAGGAAGAAAGCAGGAAGACAGGATTATGTACTGCAAGGATGAAAAGTCATTTCATCAACCCAAATGTATTGAGCACGTACTGTGTGCTCGGCAGTCCTGGGTGCTGGGGGAGCACAGGTGTGCTGGGGTGAAGGCAAGAGGCCTTCTTGGGGAGATTGAAGTTAGAACCTGAAGGATGAGTAGGAGCTGCATAAACCAAGTGGAAGGAGGAAGAGGATTAAAGGGGGAGTGTGCTCGCCCAGGGAAGGGTGTGCCCTGGGACCGAGGAGGGGAGAGCAGGGACTGAACCCATCTAGTGTGACCTGGGGGAGAATGGCACCAGCTGAGGTCAGCAGGTACCAGGGCTAGACGATGCCAGATCTTTGGGCCATCTTGCGGAATTGATCTCAGGACTGTTTCACATCTGAAAGTATCCTGGTGAGAGTTAAATTCAAAGCTGCAGTGTCCGTGTGGAAAATGGACTCGACAGCCCTTCAAGTAGACAGGGCTGGTTCCGGGCTGTGAGAGGCCTGGTGGCCTCGGCTGAGGTCGTGGCGGCAGGGATGACACAAGTGGGTGGATTGAAGGCAGACCTGGGAGTGACCTGGTGATTAGTTTTGTGTAGGGTGTGAGAGTGCAGGGTGACGCCGCTGAGTTTAAGCTTGAGCACTTGGGTATATGGTGCTGCCATGTACACAAGAGGGAACAGTGGAGGAGGGGCGGATTTGGGGAGGAAAAACAAGTTTGGTTTTGTTAAGTCTGAGCTGCTTTCTAGGCTTCGAGAGTAGAAATACTTCAATGTCTGGATAGAGCAGGCCGCAGATTACCCTCCAAAGAGCTGGGGCTCACCTGTTGTTTTAAGCCTGCGATGGGTGGGGGAGGGGTGTGGACCTGGAAAAAAGCGCCAGGGACTGGAAGTAAAACTATGTGGGAAGAGGTGAAGGAAAACCAGGCGGTGCTGCATCTCCACCTCATTTGCAGTGGGAGTGAGCATCGCGGGGTGTGTGTGTGTGTGTGTGTGTGTGTGTTTGTGTGTGTGCGTGTGTGTTTGTGTGTGTGCGCGTGCGCGCGGTGGGGGGTGGGGGGCTACACTTACCTCCCTAGAAATTGCCCTTTGAGAGGTGGGACAGAGAGCTGGCTTTTTAAAAAATATATATTTATTGATTTCAGAGAGGAAGGGAGAGGGAGAGAGAGAAACATCAATGAGAGAGAATCATTTATTGGCTGCCTGCACACCCCTCCTTAATGGTGTGTGTGTGTGTGTGTGCATTGAGCCCACAATCTGGGCATGTGCCCTGACCAGGAATTGAACTCGTGACCTCCTTGTTCATAGGTCAATGCTCAACCACTGAGACACACTAGCTGGGCAAGCCCTGGCTTTTTTAAGATGAGAGAGCCGCACACATTGATCTGTGAATGGAATGAACGAGTGGGAAGGGGGGGATGAACATACAGGATGTCTGCAGCCCCTTCCACTCTGGGAGCATTTGGTAAAAACAGCCTGGTCATGCTCGCATTTTGATATCAAACTCATATAACAAATTTCAACTTCTTACTAAGACAAATTTTGAAGCACTTATGTCTATGAAGTTTAAAGTTTTACTTCGTAGATATGCAAATTTAATGATTAGGAGAAACATCGATGGAAATCACACAACAGAGCTGCAGAGTGGCTGAGAGTGGTCCCGGAGTGACCCCACCACTCTCTAGCTCATGACCTTGCACAAGCTCCCTGACTTTTCTGCCTGGTCTCCTGGCCTCTGAAATGGCACCACACCTAAGGGGTACATGCTCTATGGTGACTTCTTGCAGGCTGTTGTGAGGATTGCATGTGTGCATTATGTATGTGCAGTGTCTGTACAATGTATGAATGTTTGTATGATGTATGCACAAGGTAGGCACATGTGCATCATGAATGCCCAATGTGTGTGTGTGTGTGTGGTGCATGTACAATGTGTGTGTGTGTGTGTGTGTGTGTGGTGCATGTACAATGTGTGTGTGTGTGTGTGTGATGAGAGAGAATCATTTATTGGCTGCCTCCTGCACACCCCTTAATGGTGTGTGTGTGTGTGTGTGCATTGAGCCCACAATCTGGGCATGTGCCCTGACCAGGAATTGAACTCGTGACCTCCTTGTTCATAGGTCAATGCTCAACCACTGAGACACACTAGCTGGGCAAGCCCTGGCTTTTTTAAGATGAGAGAGCCGCACACATTGATCTGTGAATGGAATGAACGAGTGGGAAGGGGGGGATGAACATACAGGATGTCTGCAGCCCCTTCCACTCTGGGAGCATTTGGTAAAAACAGCCTGGTCATGCTCGCATTTTGATATCAAACTCATATAACAAATTTCAACTTCTTACTAAGACAAATTTTGAAGCACTTATGTCTATGAAGTTTAAAGTTTTACTTCGTAGATATGCAAATTTAATGATTAGGAGAAACATCGATGGAAATCACACAACAGAGCTGCAGAGTGGCTGAGAGTGGTCCCGGAGTGACCCCACCACTCTCTAGCTCATGACCTTGCACAAGCTCCCTGACTTTTCTGCCTGGTCTCCTGGCCTCTGAAATGGCACCACACCTAAGGGGTACATGCTCTACGGTGACTTCTTGCAGGCTGTTGTGA